CAGCGGCCTCGGGCGGGGCCGGGTCTCCGTGAGCCCAGCCGCTAGTGCGACCTGGTCCGAGTGCCACCGCCCACCCCAACCTCAGTGACACGTAGGCGGGACGCCCATCTCTGGCACAGGCGCCCCTCCACCTGCCCAGGTGTCAGACAACAAACCCACCGGTCCGACTAGGTTCACTCGGCCCAGCACTCACCCGCTGCTCTCACCCACCGGCCAGAGGCAGTACTCAGGTCTTAAGCGGGAAGCACTGCCACGGGTCCGGGGCAGAAGCCTGGCTTGAAGCCAGTGAAGCCAGAGAGGGGGCTGAGCCACAGGCTGGGAAGACGTGGGCCAGGCCCAGTGGGCACAATGCCTGGGGTCCCCAGCTATTGCCCATTCACAGCCTGGCTGTGTGCCGAGGGCGTGTTGGCATCACCAGGTACTCGCTGATGGCCTGCCTCCTTCCCTGTTGGAATCGTGCTGGGCCCCATGGGGACAGACCACAGCACAAGCCCGCAGCTCTCCTGGCTTCGGGAAGTGGGTCAAGGACTTTGGACAGCCAACCTGGGATACAGCCCAGGCCCAGCCCCCGGTGCAGCCCACCAAGCCCAGGGCTCCAGCTCCAACCCCCACCTCAAGGCGGCTCACACCACAGACCACACACAGCCACCACAACTTCCTTGCAAAAACCCTCGGCTCACCGGAGGGCCAGTGGAAATTTATTTTTTTGTCCTTTCTGTCTTTTCCCCAAGTGGCTTTTCCTTGCAAAATGCCTGACATGACCAGAGGGGAACCTGGGAGAAGGGGGGCACCCTAAGAGGCAACCCAGGGACTTAAATACAAGCTGGAAGGCAGGGCACAGGTGGGACAGGCGAGAGGCAGCACAAGGGACATGGCTTGTCAGGTAGAGACCAAAGGGTTTTTTTGCAGGAAGAAGCTGTGCCAGAGGGCCAGGGGCTAGGATCCTGGGTGGGAGGGGGTGAGAAGAGAGACCCCCAACCCTGGGTTGCACCCATATTCCCCAGAGAAGTAGCAACAGAGGATGAGGATCTGCCCTCGTAGGCTCCAAGGAAGGGGAGAGAAAGCCACTGCGCTGCCTCAGGGAAAGGGAGGTGCTGGCAGAGTGAGGGTTAAGCCTGGTGCCGGCCTCTGGCACGGTGTGCCTTCCACCTCCGCCTGCCTTGAGGACAAAGGGGCACGGTGGGCAGGCAGCACATGGGCCTGGCTCTGGCAGGGCAGGGGGTGGCAAGAGCAGGCTCCCTCTGGGCACAAGACACAGGCCCAGCTCGGCTGCCCGCCCACCTGCACTAGATGGGCTCAGACCTCACTGTGGCTGGACGGCTGGAGCTGTGAGTGTGGGAGGGGTGGGAGGAGCGGTAGGGAGGAGGGGAAAGGGGGGCTGTTGGGCCTCTGTAACCCCCATGCCCGTCCTGAGGTCTGACCTAGGACCCTGGATCCCAGGTCCTGGTCCCCGGTCCCATTTCTGGCCCCGGGCACTGACTTCAGCCTGGGACAGTCGAGGCCAGGAGGCCCTCAGTTCGTGGGGAAGGGTTGGGCAGGGGAGAAAAGGACAAGGAGAGAAACCCACTGCAGCATACATGGGGGGCCAGGGGAGGGAGACAGAGGGGCCCTCATCCCAAAGAAAAGTGTATGGTGGCGTATCTTTTAAAGTTACCTAGAGGCAGCAGCAGAGCAAGGCCCACAGCGCCCCAGCCCCAGGTCCTGGGTGTCCTCCCTTGGGGGCCCTGGTAGAACCGAGGCTCAGGGTGGCAGGCAGATGGGCCAGAGGGAGATGAGGAGCCAAGGACACCCCAAAGCCACAGACTCAAATACCCCAGGAGAGGGAGGCACCTCCTGCCCCCTCCAGGAGCATCATCTGGAGAAGGTGCCCCTCCTGTCCCACCCCCACGCCCCTTCTAGCAACAGCCGCCACCAGCTGGCTTCACGGGGGTGCTGTCGATCTTGAGGTTGGGTCGCTCACCCCCGGTGGCAGCCCCCGGGCCCATCCGCTTTTTTATTTCAGCAGCCATGGTCATGAACGCCTGCTCAACGTTGGTGGCGTTCTTGGCACTCGTCTCCAGGAAGGGGATGCCCAGAGAGTCTGCAGACTCCTGACAAGGGGAGAGAAGAGGAGAGAAGCGAGGCGTGAGAGGCAGTTGCCCCAGCCACCCGGGGAGGCCTGGCCCCGGCCGCTCACCTTGGCTGTGGTGTTGTCCACCACCTTCTTGGTGGTGAGGTCACTCTTGTTGCCCACCAGGAGCTTGTTGACATTCTCGCTGGCATAGCGGTCGATCTCCTGTAGCCACTGCTTCACGTTGGCATAGGATTCCTAGGGCAGCCAGGGCCGAAAGTTACTCTGCTCCCCACCCCTACGCCTACCCTACACTTGGGGAACAGGGGCTTTGAGGGGAAAGGGCAGCCCCGGACTCCTGAGAGAGCAGGAGCCCTGGACTCAAGGGACCCACAGGAAGTGCTTTTCTCCAGGCTCCACTGTCCTCCCTGGCCTCCTCCGTCTGAGACTCCAAAAGCCAGCCCCAGCCCCGCCCCAGCCGTCTGCCGACAGCCCCAGCACCTAAACAGTGTAGGCCTAAGGGCCTGCAACTGCTTCTCTCTCCCTGACACACAAAAAAGGTCCAACCACATGTGGGGAGCAAATGGCATCAGGAGAGAGGCCAGGAAGAGAGAGAAATCGAGAGTAACAGGTTCGCAAGGATCACCAAGTTCTCGCAGTGGCATTATAGTCCCTTTAAGGTTGAGGTCTTGGAGCCCATAACAGGTGAAGGGTTTGCAGCAGAAGAGACCCTGGCCTATGAGGGAGACAGGTATCCTGGGAACAGAGTCTAGCGTGCATCCTACTTCTGACCCCAACAGCCTCCTCACTCGGCTCGGGGGATTTGCCATTCCCGCCCTCAGCCGGCCTGCGGGGAGGATGGAACTTTCAGGGTTGTGCTGGAGCCAGAGAGGACAGGTATCACCGGGGTTCACACTTACACCCCCCACCATGTCCCAGGCTGGGCCCTATGCTGAGCACTAGGGATAAAGAAGGAATGAGACCTGGACCGTGCCCTAAAGCACCGGGAAAGGAAGGACTAGACCAGGACACACGGTGGCGTGACAGGGACGGGAGCTGCGGAGCTCCGGGACTACTACTGCCTGCGGAGGCTCAGCTGACCCACACCTGCAGGGACGAACTGGCCTGCGAGAAAGCAAGTGAGGGGACGGGAAAAGGTGCAAGGGGAGTACACGGCATGCGCTAGGTCAGAGTGCGAGGGGCATGGTGCCTTTGGAGAGTGGGAGAAGCTGAATGTTGCTGGGACGCAGGCTCTGAGCAGGGAGAGAGGGCGAGGAGCAGGCTAGCGCCTGGAGGAGCTTAGCCTGGCTGCATCTTAGACAACCAGGAACCAGTGGGGGGTTTTCTTAGGAAGGGAGTGGCAGGAACACACCTGTGTTCTGGGAAGACAATCCTGGCGGGAGTGGAGGCCAGATCAGAGCAGCAAGATGGAGACCAACAGGGACGAGAAGCTGTGCCCTGAGCCAGGGAGTGCGGCAGGGAAGAGCACAGGACCCAGGCAGACTCTCCTGGGTGAAGCCCTGGCTCTGCCATTGACTGTGTGACCCTAGATAGGTCGCCTGGCCTGAGCCTGTTTCCTCCCCTCTGTAAAACAGTACCTCCCAGTGGGGCTGTTGTGAGCATGGGATGATGAACGCAGGCCTGTCTCATAACAAGTGCTTAATTAGGAGCTGCTATTATCCCATCACTGCTATTATTATGAGGAGCCAGATTTGAGAGAGAGGATGGGGGAGTGCAGGGGGGCTCAGACTGTCTGGATGGGGGAGGGAAGAGTGTTCTCTCAGGCTAAGAGGGATGCAAGAGCTGGCTCGGGGAGAGATGGCGAGGCCAGTGCTGGACACGCTGAGTGCCGCAGATGGGGCAGAGCTCAGGAGAGGCTGTAGAGGAGCACGAAAGGGTGCGCTCGGAAGCAAAGAACCCTGGATTCAAACACTGGCTTTGCCTTTCTGGGCTGTGAAACCATGGACAAGTTACTTAACACCTCTCCCAGCGTGTCTCCTCACCAGGAAAGCGGGGACCCACCATTTAGTTCACTGGGTAATATTGTGAAATTAGAATACAAACACAAAGTACCAGCGGAATGTCGGACAAAGAGAAGATGTACAGTGAGAGCTATTCAGACATAGGAATCCCAGAACATAAGACAGAAGCCAAACCACTAAGTGGCCAAAACCATGCAGGGAGTCAGAAGGAGGCTTGGGGCAAGGTCAGGAAGCACCAAATATGGGGTTATGGAGGTCAGTACAAGGTGAAGCAGTGAAAAGCCACTGAAAAGATAATCTAGCGCAGCAGGGGCTGGGAGAGCTGGAGTTAGGGAGGACAGAGTTAAAAGCCACGAGAGGTCGATCTGGGCGAGAACTGAAGTGAGGTCACAGGATTTGGCAGTTAGAGGTCCTTGGTGACCTTTGTCTGAGTGGAGCACAGTTCACCCATAGCTTGTCCAGGAGGCACCACCATGAGTCCCTGGCGAGCCAGACAGCTCAGCTGCCCCTAAGCGCAGGGACTCCTCCTGTAAGTAAGCATCTCCATGTCCCCAGAGCCCGGTCCCCACTAAGCAACGAGGTTTGGTAGAAAGAACGAAGTAGAATCAGTAGACTAGGCTTT